GCAAGGGTATAAAATATGTTAAGCATCTACAAATGAGATGGTGTGAAATCTTAAGACAATTTTCTTTTGTTAGCATTTACAACTCAAGCTTAGATTGAGAAGCTGCCAGCTTCCATAATAGCGTTCGCTGTTTTTTCCTTCTTTCTCTCCCTCTCTCTCACTCTCTCTGTTTTGCCTTGAAAAATATTTATTTTGTATTTTTCTTATTCCGGGTTTCTCTTGGGGAGGAAATGTTTTGTATTTAAATTGAATGTCATATCTTCCATAATAGAATGCGCGTTGACAATTTTATCTTCAGGCTTAGTTATTTGCGGAATTGATTTGGATTTTTCAGAAGTGGAAATTGTTTTGAATTTCAATTTTTTCCGCAACAAAATTTGTTTTATAGTGATTTTTATCATGGCTTGTTTTCGTGGTTTAAATTTGTACTTAATATTTCGCTTAAATGTTGGGAAAAATTTTAATATCTCTTTAATAAAGGCTATTTAACAATACTCTTATGTATACAGGATATTTTAGAGAACTCCCAACATTACATTCATGAATAGCGCAGTATTCTATGGAAAAGTCCCTCGCCCCATATTGCATAGACGCTATATTGTATATTCCATATAACGACACCTTCATTATTTTCGGAATTTTATAGGTTTTGGTCTCGATTTGACATTTTAACTCCTCGCAAAATATATTCAATGCAGGTCGACTTTTGCCATTTTTTTGTTATAGCCATCATATGTAGCCTGATTATCGGAATTTTTAAGGTTTCTGCGTTATTTGGACATTTCGGGATCTCAGTGTGTAATTTAACTTCTCACAAAAATAGTCAATATAGGTCCAATTTTTGAGATGGTCCTCATATAACTGTATCTTCTAATTTTCGGTATTTCAAAGGTTTTGGTTCTATTTTCAAACCAAAGCAGCTATAATTTTATATATTTGAACTCCTCGCCAAAAAATATTCAATGTGGGTCCACTTTCTGCTATAATCCGCAAATAACGGAATCATTAACTTCCAAAGAAATAAGCTGAAATTTGACATTCCCCGTTCTTTGTGGGCAGATTAACTCCCCAAATAGTCGATATAGGTTAGTCCCAATATAACTTAACTTTTTTATCCCGATTTAACAATAAGTCAAGTTTTTACCTGCAGAAAGTATGAAAAGTTCGGCACGGGTCAGCCAATGAGCATTTTGGCATTTTGAGGAGAATTATTCGTGATGGAATTCAAGCGTGCTAGTGTGATTTCTTTATATTTGACTGGAAAACCACAAGTGGGTATCGTTAGAGCACTCCAGCATTTATATGTGAATAAATCTTTTGTGTCTCATACCATTGCTCCTTACCGTGATAGTGGTAGCGTAGCCTGACGTCAAGGAAGTAGACGGTTTGAAAAGTAAAAAAGCGACTTGATCGAAACCTTCGTCGCAGTGCCCGAAAAATGGCTAGTGAGCTCAATATATCGCAATATTCCATTCTGCAAATATTGAACAAAGAGCTCGGGGTAAAGCCATTGAAATTCCAAAAAGTGCAAGAACTTAAACCGCAACAGAAAGAAAGTAGACTCAAACGAGCTAAAAGTTGCTTCGCTTGGTCGAAAGTGGTGAACTGCCGAATTTGGTTTTCTCCGATGAGACAACATACGTTGTCCAGCAGTTTGTGAACAAACAAAATGATCGTGTTTACTTGCCAAAGAGGTCACCTTCGTTTGGCAACCAGAACTCCAGCGCCGGTCATGGTAATGGTGTGGCCCGCCATAACAGCTGATGGTCGCTCTCCACTCGTATTAATCGACCAGAATAAATACCGAATATTATCGTGAAAATATTCTGAAGGGTGCATTAAAGCTTTGGGCACGCAAACATTTTGGCCGCAGAGCTTGGACATTCCAACAGGACTCAGCGCCATCGCACTCAGCACGCGCCACCCAAGAATGGTTGCAAAATGAGTTTCCTCGCTTCATTTCCAGCGCACAATGGACACCAAAATCTCCGGATACCAATCCGTTGGACTATTGAGTCTGGAGTATTTTGAAAAGCAAGGTTGCCACTAGAAAATACCAAAGTATCGATCACCTCAAGCAAGCACTTCGCCCAGAATGGACCAAATACCGCAGAGCAACATTCGGGCAGCATGTGACGGTTACATTGGCCGTTTGAAGACCATAATTCGTGCCAAAGGTGACCAATTCGAACAAATCTAAACTTATTCTAAAATTTGATTCTATTTCCGACAGTTTTTGCTTTCATCCAATAAAATTAAAAAAACAAGTAAGCAAAGGCTACAGTCGAGCGGGGCCGACCGTTGAATACCCTACAACACTATAATAAGTGATATAGTTTATATAGGCGAGATACTCGAAAGAATTCCACAAGATATTGTGACAAATTATAAAAGAAAACCATCAGGTTTCGTTCTCTAATTTTCGAATAATAGCAACTTAAGCTAATTTGCTCATTTCCAATTTATTGGTAGATGTTGCACGTAAATGGTCTTCCTAGATCTGGAACCAATATTTCCCAAAGACCTATAATCTGTCAGAAGTGGCAAAAGATTAACATTTATTATTGGTTTTTGACTGAAACGCATCTATATGAGATACAGACATTGGAATATATTCTTCCACGAAATCAGCGTTAACGAAATAGTCAGAAGTGCGTCTTTCCTGTATTTGTGAATTCTCCAAAAAGTCACTAGAATGGACATTTTCGTATTTTGTCTACAAAAGTTGGCAAACTATTTCCCACATTAAATATTTTTGGATGGTCATCCAAAACTGCTTGGCTTTTTTAATGTCCGGTAACCCCCATTCAAATGTGCGTGAGGATCGGGCGATAATTACGACCTGCTACAGTTTTGCAGTTTTTTGTCCATTTCAACCCCTAGATATATTGCGATCATCTCCAAAAAGAATAGGCTTCTATTCTGACCCTCATCTTATACCCATGCAAAATTTCGAAAGGATCGGGCCATAAATGCGATCTGTATATGATATCCTGATATCCTAACTACTTAGTTTTGTTAGCTGTAGAAATATTACCAAATGTTTAATTCAAAATGAAAATATGCCAAAAATATGACAAAATTGAAAAAAATATGAGAAAATGTTAGAAAATCAATTTTTTCATCTTTAGAGAGATATTTTTATGCGATTTTTTTAGACGTTTTATGTTTCCTGCCAAGAGGCCATTCTGAATTAATGAGAACTGTCGAAATCAGTTCAGCCGATCTCGACATATAAGAGATCTTTCAAGCATATCTTCTTTGATCGACATATATATCGCACATATTTTGCTATATATCCGATTTGTTGGATGTTAACATCAATGTAAAGGTCAGAAGTAACCTTGTCATGGCTTCGTGATTTTGCCGGGATTTAAAATATTCACGGTTTAATGAAAAATATTGAATTTTTTCAACACAAAAGATATGGTCTATTTTACCCGCTAAATATTATCCGATGACCATCCAAATTGGTAGGCTTCTTGCCCGCCCTTAACTCTAGCTACATGCGAAATTCCGCGTCGATTGGTCTATAATTGCGACCTGTATAGCTACTGCAAAATCCGATATTTTTTCAGTATTTGGTCCATTTCAACCCCTAAACATTTGGCGATCATCTCCAAAAGAAATAGGCTTCTATTCTGACCCTAACCCCACCCCCATTTTAAATTTCGTGAAGATCGGACCATAATTGCGACCTGTAGAGTGATTACAAATTAACATGGACAGACGGACAGACGGACGGACGGACATACATAGCTAGATCGACTCAGGTCGGCGAGCTAGGAAGATCCATATATACTTTCCTATGTGGGAAACCAATATTTCGAGGTGTTACATAAATTCTGGCCCAATCAAACTTATAATACCCCCAACACATAGTGTTGTAGGGTATAAAAATTGTGGCGTTTGACTTTGTTGCAGTTTTTTTTATCTCACCCTGTATATACCGCCGAATTCATGTATTTAATACACCAAACACACTATAAATGTCTGATTTCAATGAAATGTGGAATGTGTGACGAAATTTGGTCCATAAATATTTTTTTCAAATTATATTGATATCGGTTCAGATTTGGATATAGTTCCTAACAAACAAAAAAAAGTACACAACATTTTAATTTAGACTACAATCATTACAATTATTGCCACGTCGGAGTCCACTAATACCAAAAAAATATGGTTCAACTTTAAAACATTGCAGTTTCCTCTACAGTTCCTATGACAATTTATAACTGCTCTACAGCTATAATACGCATTCAAAAACGATTGTATTTGCTTTGATCTACTTCACATAAATTTGTTGCGTGTAGCTCTATTAAATATGCATCGTGGTGTGGGGTACAATAAAGTCGATCCGCCCGAATTTTGACCTTTCTTTACTGGTTTATTCTAAAATTGTTATTTCCTCATTGTGGAGGGTATTTATATTCAAAATAATAATTTAACTACTTCATTTTGCTGTTCTCTCTCCCTCCCTCTCTCTCTCTCTCTCTGTCGGTTTTTCTCATTTTTTATTCCTTTCCGAATCCCGCAAAAGATTTACAAAAGAAAATTGTTTAATTTAGCCAGCAGACATATTAATTGATATGCAATGAAGAATTTAAATATCCATCTGTGCTATAATATAATTAAACACACACACATATCTACACACTATCATATCCAACTAACTCTCTTTAGTGAAATTCCTTAACACACAACTTTAATTGGAAATTGTTTTAAATTTACATATTTAATTTATCACCATTGAATATCAACTAAAACAAACCATCAATAATTGTTCGACTCCTAAAATTAAATTTGCAAATACAATTAACTATTGTTGTTGCAAATTATTTCCATAAACATTGTTTTTGTTGCAAAGCACAATTTAATAACCGTAGACGTTAGACAATAATTTCTTAATTGCTGCATAATGTTGGACTAATTAAGTAATATTTGTTTAATTGTATCGTTTTCTTATTCCTCTTCGTCTTCTTCTTCCCATCTCATTGCAGGATAAAGTTAAAGAAGTCTTTGATACAGCTATCTGGGAAGGCTTAGCACCATCTATCTTGCCACCCACACCGGCACCATTGTGGAAGAGATTATTCTGTCTGGCCTAGGGCAGAACTGCAAAACGAGCATTGATTGAGCTTAGCTATGCTGTAAAAGGGAGAAACCGCAAGAAAGTTATTGAAAGTAAAATGCATAAATAATAGACTGATTAATGTTATAAAGGAATATATCTGTTATTTCTACAATTATATTATGCTATAACAAGAAAGTATCTTTGAAAAAAATTATTATTAAGAAGCGAAATGTCATCTTTTTTATTGATTTACGATTTTTTATGAAGTTTGAACCCTTGCTTAAATTTTTTAATTAAAATTTTGCACTTTAATTTTTGTCCTAATTGTGTTTTTAAAAATTGTATTGTTTGATTAAAAATATCTGATTATTTTATGTAATTTGTCTTGCTTAATTTTTTTATTTAAATTAATTTTTTTTATTAAATTTTTGGCCCCCTTTTTTAATATGGTACTTTTCAATTTGATGCTTCCAATTTACTTACACACTGATGTACTTTCATTCATTATTTTCACTTATTATTAACAACATTTGTTGTTTCAGTTAATAATGTTGATCTTCTCATTAATGTAGATTGTTAAAAATTTATTGCATTGAATAATTAATTATAGAATTTTTGTATTCTAGTATTTATAGTTGTTAAGTTGTATTATGGGTCATTCCATGTAAAATTGGAAAATAGAAAGAAATTCAGAAGGCAATCGAAAAAAGCATCAAAAGAAGAAAAAATAAATGCAGTGCTATTAAAAAATAATTTAAAAATTGTGAAAATATGTCAATACAATCAAAGATTTATTTTCAAAAATTAAAATGAAAAGGAAAAAATTCACAGAAAAATTAGAATCCATTAAAATTCTACGATAATCAATTTTACGAATTTTAACGAAATTTTACGAAAAAATATCAAAAGAAGAAAAATTGAATGAAGTGCTATCTAAAAATAATTAAAAAGTTGTGAAAATTTTGTCAATACAATCACATTTTTTTTTTTCAAAAATTAAAATCCAAGGAAAAAAATTCACAGAAAAGTTGGAGTCCATTAAAATTCTACGATCATCAATTTTACGAATTTGATTTTAAATTGAATTACATGCTATGCTAAAATATCAAACAGTTTTGAAAAAAAAATTATAAAAATATGTCATTTATAATTTGTATATTATTAAAGTTTTCTTTTAGCAGTTTCAAATAAAAAATAAATATCAAAACAGAATATACTTAAATTCTATACTAAAAAGTTAAATAATTTTGAAAAAAAAAATTAAAAAAATATGAAATGAAACAAATGAAACATTATTTTGAAAGTTTGAAGTCAAATTAAAAAAACGACATTTTTAGAAAAAACACATGTATTGATTTGAATATTGTGCTAAAAAGTTAGAAAAAATTAAACAAATAAAAATGCCTAATCCAAACATTTTTTTAATAGTTTAATTTTTTTAGAATTCAAATTTGTTTTTCATATTATTGTTTTAAATTAATTTGAAAATTTGAAGTCATCTTATAAAAACAAATTTAAAAAATCAAATATTAAAAAATTAAAATATTTTGAAAAAAAATGAAAACAAAAGTAAAGGCATTTTATGTGAGTTGTGCCAATTTTTGGGAATCTGTCGATTTTTTATTCATTTTTCTTCTATTAAAAAAATCATAAATTCTGGATCTCAAGTCTTGTTCAAAAAAAAAAAAAAAATAAATAAAATTGTTATATAAAATCTTTTATAAAGGGAATATATGATATACTAAATTTAAAAAAATTATTTTTCCTATCTTTCGTGGAACAAGAACTATAACCTGATTTCAAATTATTGAAATATCTCCAACTTGGTTGAACATAAAAAATCTGCACTTTCATACAATTTGCCATGGAATGACCCCCATGTATTAGAATTCATTCATAATTATGCGAAAAATTCTTGTTATAGGAAAATTCTAATTACTACCTAAAAATTTAAGTTATTACAACAAGAAATTTGATTCAATTATAATTTTCCTGTTATTCTCTGTTATGCTTAGTTCATTATCATTATCATTTTTCCTTATTTGCTACTACTTCGTTTTAAGAGTTGTGAAATCTTATCATAATTATCATATACGTATGTCATTATCGTAATTATAAACATATTTAAAACATTTCTATTTTATTTTGTTTAGAAATGTTTTGAAGTGAAAACGAATAATATCAAGAACTACTATAACTACAAGCAAAAACACTCATTCCATCCATACATACGAATATATCAATTTGTTAAATAATAAGTTTTATTTTTATGCATTCATTAAAGATGATAAATAAAATTTTCTCATATATCGATCGATTAAACAAAAAAGCTTGTGTTTTATTTGAATTAAAATAAGTTTCTTTGAAATGATCATTTAACGGTCAGAAATCACACATAAACTCCAAAAAACTTGGCAGCACTGGTAAAGAGGTCGAGACAGCGCCATCTATTGAAACGGTAGATCGAAATTTGGTGATCAAAATTTCGGTAGACCAAAATTTCCTAAAAAAGTGAACCCCTTAAACAATGTAACCACTAGGTGGCGCTGTTCATGCAAATAAAGACATTTATATTCCCTAAAATGAATATTTGTTTTACTTTTTTAATGTTAAATACCATAATTTCGAATCAAATAGGTTTGCTGTATTTTGGGAAGGGAAAAATATTTTTGCAGGTCCAATTTTTAAAATACACTCTCTTCATAATTGCCACAAACGCGATCTGTAGTATATCATTTATGATTCCCGTTTGAAAAATTATACTAAAGTAGACCGAAATGATTTTCAAACTCATTTGAGAGGGACAAAAACAGACATTAAAAAAATTAAATTTTTGCAGAAAAATGTTCTAAAACTTGACAACTTCGCAGGGGGAACAGAACCACTCCCCTTGCTACTTGGGTGAAAAAATAACTACTGGATGAAAATGATCAAAATGGATCAATTTTAAAAGAAGTTTAGTATTTAAACAGTTTGTGATATTTTAAGAAGTTCAAGGGAAGGCTATAAATAGCCCACATAGGGACGAATTTTTATGCCTTTACTATAGGTTATTGTAGTTATATTAATTGGCTGCATAATTTTGAACATTTTTGGATTTATGTTACTCTGGCAAGTTGCCAAAACCTGTAAAAATTCTGGCCAACGTATAGGTCACCCAGGAATTGTGTACCATTTGGACATATTTTGTACGTTTTATATGGAAACCGTCATGATTTTTATTTAGTAGGACTCTACATATGTATTTCGAAATGCATTTCTGTGTACGTATCAGCAGGCTAGGACCCATGAAATACCATTCCTAACATGAATCTTTACCAGCTGGCTTGCAAAAAGAGAGCTTCGAGCAGAAAACCCATAAAATCGCACAGTATTATTTTTTTAAATATAGTTAATTCGGTTGGAAAATATAAACCTCTAAAAGTCTAACTTTGTCATGAATTCTTAAGCAAAATTTTTTTCTTTTCGTTTGGAAGCAATTTAGTGAGCTTATTTCCATTTTTCTGTCGCGAAAGAGGAATATTTATCGCAATAAAAAATTTTCAATTTTCTTCAGAATATTTTTATTCTATTACTTTGTAGCCCGTAGCCCTTTAGGCCTTCTTTAATAAGACGAATAGATTTTTTATATTTTATTTCTGATATTTAAATAATATACAAATTAATTATGCTACTAATTTTGTCAAATATGTCTATACAGCGCCATCTATTGATTAGAGGCCTTAAAGAATTGTCATTTTTTGACTAAATTATATTAAATTAAAAAAAATATGCTCAATTTCGATCTATGGTTTCAATAGATGGCGCTATATTCACATCTTTGCCAGTGCAGCCAAGTTTGATGTAAATTTATTGATCATTAACAAAACAGAGCACACTTTCAGGCGCAAAATGAAATTGATTTTAATTAATTATTAAAATTAATTATTGAATACAATTATTGAGATAATACAATTAATAAAATAAAAAACGTATACAATTTTATTTATTTATTTTAAACGTTATTACAACTTGAATATAACAAAAAGTTCAATAATAAAGTGTTTAAAAATGTAGGAGTAAGTAGTCCAGTTTTATTCCATATTGTAAATGTTTCCTTCTCCATGTTAATCACTTATTTCTGCAGTTCAACTGAAAATAAAAATAGAAAGAAATTTGTTATTGAGCCAAAATGAAAATATATTTATATTCGTATATATGTTAGTAAATAGATAATACACGTTTTTGTTGATTAGATTGACTATGCAATGACATAGCAAATCGGAACAAGCGTACTTTATCGAATATTATCATATTCGATAAAGTACGCTTGTGAAAGTGAAATTAAATAATCCCTAATAACAAAGTACAAAAGCACAAAAAGCATTTACTATAGGTGTACAAACCGTAGATGAATGCTCCAAATCTCTACATCTTTCCCTAAAGCTGTAAATCATAGTTCAATAAAAAATAATTTAATGGGAATAATGCCAGAGACAATTATTTTTTTGTTCAGAGAATCTTAATGAGATTGCATGTAGAATATTACTTTCTTTGACTAACCCAAAAATGTATCCAAAACATAAGCATAATGATAGTTATACCCTACGACACTATGTGTTGGGGGTATTATAAGTTTGATTGGGCCAAAAATTATGTAACACCTCGATATATTGGTTTCCCACATAGGAAAATATATATGGATCTTCCTATCTCGCCGAGCTGAGTCGATCTAGCTATGTATGTCCGTCTGTCCATGTTAATTTGTAATCACTCTACAGGTCGCAATTATGGACCAATCCTCACGAAATTGAAAATGGAGGTGGGGTTAGGGCCAGAATAGAACCCTATTTCTTTTGGAGATGATCGTAAAATATTTAGGGGTTGAAATGGACCAAAAACTGAAAAAAAATTTCTGATTTTACAGTTGCTCTACAGGCCGCAATTATAAACGAATCAACGCGAAATTTTGGATGGAGTTGGAGTTTAGGGCTGGGCAGAAGCTACTAATTTGGACTGTCATCGGACAATATTTACAGGTAAAATAACTCATAACTTTTATGTAAAAAAAATTGAAAATTTCCAAATTTTTAATCCCGGCCAAATCACAAATATTTTAAAAGATTACTACAGACCATTACAGTGATGCTGATAGTGTAGCGAAATAGGATCAATCTGTATGTAAACGAAATTAATGTTAGTTATTCCGCTTATAATTCAAGAACCGCTGGACAATTTTCTTTGACAATTTTCACTAACTTGCAATGGGCTTTTGCCAGTAAAGGGTAAAATCTAAGAAAATCGCGTAAAAATCTGCCAACAAAAAAGTTTTCGTTAAATTTTTTTCAATTATTGTAATATTTTTTATCGCATGCGATATTTTCAATTTGACTTACAATTTTGAATTGCAAATTTTCAAAATTTTTTCTACACCCTGCAACACTATGTTTTGAGGGTATAATATACAGGTCTCAATTATCGTCTGATTCTAACAAAATTTGGCATAGGGGTAGGGTTAGGTTCAGAATTAAAGCCTATTGTTTTTGAAGATGTAAATTTGGACAAAAAATGAAAATTTTCCTGATTTTGCAGACGCTATACAGGTCACAATTTAAAATCAATCGACACGGAATTTTGCATGAGGACAGTTTAAGGACAGGGAACATTTCGAACATTTTGAATGATCATTGGATTATTTTTAATTGTAAAATGGACCACAATTTTGGTGTGAAATTGTTGTGAATACCTAACAACACGACGTAGTAAGTAAATATTGGGCAAATACCCCCGGTCAAATGCCTAAGGGTAACACCTAGGCAGGGCCCTATGAAATTATTTCAAAAACGAAATCTTCCAAAATGGATTTGAACATAAGGGGGCTTCTAACTTATTGTAGTGTTGAAGGGTATCACATGGTCGGCCCCGCACGACTGTAGGCCTTTGCTTACTTGTTTTAATATAATCCTTATCGAAGTCATATCATGCACTATACATCAATGCTATTTGGTTCATATTTGGTATGATCTACTTCACATTCCCAATATAAACTTTTTTCTTACGGGAGCTCTACTATATAGTCATAGTGGTGTAGGGAATTATATTTTTGACCTTTCATTAATGGATTTTTGCTTTAAATTCTTAATGAAATTTGTGGATTATTTTGTTGATCTTTCTTGACTAAAATTGGCTTCACCTTTCCAACCCCAGGACCTATATCTTGCTTCCGCTGGAAGATGTGAACACAAACACAAACAACCAAAAATGGCTGACATTGACGTATGGGGCTGATATGGAGTAATTGACCTACTTCTGTCAAGAGAACTCAAAATGCAAAATCATTGGACTGCAATCAGTGAAATACCGATATATAGGTAGTGAAGCGAGTGGATATTTAGGAAAGAAAAGGATTTATATCCTCCAAAGAATTTTTCCGAAACCTTCGAGATACTTAAAATTGCACGTACCTGGAGACTACGAGTATGCGCTATGTGATTAATTACACACAAGAGCCAATCTGCCGTTTGGAAAATTCTAAGTCGATAGTATTCGGTTAGTAGATGAAAATCCCAAAAGGGTTTTGGGACCCAAGTAAAACTTTTTTGCGGCCCGTTATGTATAGCCTTAGCCATATACAAAGGTTCTTAAATATTTTTCTCTCCACTTCACAAACTGTATGAAAGAGCCTTTTAATTTGATACAGGAATATCGGGTATATGTAGAATCATTTATAAAAATATAGGTCATGTTGGTCAACGTTTTGGTATAGCCCCACATAAAAGTTTAACCTGATTTTAAGATATTTTTATGTGTTAGCCATATATTTCTTACTAATTTCGGCAAATCTTGGTAATTTTATAGGCCCACGTTTTTGTATAACCCTCATATGAAGTTATCCCTTGAGTCCAGCTATTTTCGGTGTCTTGGCCGCATTTTTTAATTTATTTGGCCCTGTTTTGGCATTTTGGGTTTTAACGTATTAGAAAACCTCTTCGCAGATAATTTTAAATGTAGATCAATGTTTCGGAGTAGCGCTCATGTAAAGATACCTCCAGATGTCACAAATTTCAAGGGTCTTGAACACAATTTCCAATCGATTTGGCTACTTTGGGGGTAGAGAACCATCTGAGAGAATAATCTTATCATAGGTATATATTGTGGTATAGTCCCCATAACTTAACTTTTAAATGTGTGTTTTATATTAAAATTATTCAAATCACACTTTTACCAACATCAAATATAACCACAATTCCATCTCGAATATACCTGAATGGCTGGAAATAATTTCAAATTGCATCCCATTAGAATAACTTTTACGAGCGCGTTCAAGCAAATTGTAAATGTTCTCAAAATCAATTATTCTTTAATACTGTAGAAAAAACGAGAGACAAAAGTAAAACTCAAAATCAATTGTGCGTCTAATTTCATTTGACGGAAAAAGTAACAAAAAAAAAAAAAACATAAAGCGAACAGCACTTGTGTGTAGTCTGCCGTAAATGTTACAGAAATTGTCTACCGCAACATTTAACAATTGAAAATAGAAACATTAACAATGGCAGAGTTGTACCTGCAACTAAAACTCGTACTTATGGTCTGGAATGGATTTTTTTTGTTTCTTGGTTTTGTTGTACAGTGCTCGACGAAAAAGGACGAAGAAGAAGAATAAGCACGGCAAACAATCACGGACCACGATGACGCCGTAAGAGACATGATGGCTGGGACAAAAAAGTAGAAACCTCAGAATAAAAATTGTTTTACTTCCGTCACTTAAGTTTTGAAAAGTGTCTGCTGGAAAAGTAAAAGCAGCCCAGCTCAGCTCAGCAAATAGAAATATTTGTCTGTCCACAAAAGGAACCATTATATTTCCAACATAGACAACCAAATATACACACACACATACATTCATACATATATTGTGGTATTCTGTGTGTAGTTGTTGTATCCCTGTCACCCAAGACTACGCTTGTGATTCTGCCGTAGTAATGACAGTAATAACAATGGAAAAAGTGTTGCAGACACAGAGAGGCAACTGTGAACCACATTTGAAGAGCATACCCACCTGATGGCGGTACAGAGGCAGGTGAAGTGGCAGCAAAGGCGTTGCACCGTTATGATGATGATGACGATGACGATGGTGGCATAAACGTAAAACTGTAGTAAATGTTGGCATTCGGCAAAACATTTCGGTGTAGTGGTTTCGAGGAGTTGGGTATTAAAGGTAATATTTGCTAGATGGCGGAATAGTTTTGACTCGGCAGCAATTGTTGACTGTTTGTTGATGTTTACATTTTTTTTTTTTTTTGGTTTAAAGTGCTAAACATGAATGAATGTAGAAGCGAAAAAAAAAATATTTTCATTGTTGAAGCAACACTTGTGGTTTTGCTCGAATTCGAATAATGCAAATAGTTACAGTGAGGTTAAAATGAGGGTCAACAATGAAATTGTCTCGAAAAGAATATTCAAGCACAACTTCGAAGATACGGCATTTAAAGAAAGGGTTACGGCAATTTGATCTTTTACATTACGTAATGTTCTAAAGTAGTAGTAAACTTCTAAAATTGTACCATTTGGTATTATGTGAACGGATAGAGCTAAAAACTTAAAATTTGATATGAGATTCAAGGTTAGTTTAATATATGAAGGTGGTTTTGGAAATGTGTACTTAGTGAGCGAACTGTACTAAATGGTACTGAATTTGGAACACTAGTGAGCGAACTGTCCTAAATGTTACTGAATTTGGAACACTTTGGTTTAGGGTGAACGGATAAAGTTGAAATTTTGAAATTATGCGTTGGGGTCCCTTGTGGTAATAGGTTTGTGATAACGAGGTAGTTTTGGAAATATGTGCTACAAGTGCACGAAAAGTCTTAAATAGTTATGTTAGGTACAATTTGGTATTGTGTAAATAGATAGTGCTTGTTATTTGAAATTTGGAATTAGGTTCGCTTAACATGCACACATATGAAGAGTGCTTTCAGAAATGCTTCTCATAATGGTACGAAAAGTACTAAATGATCATATACAAGGTGAGACAAAAAAAAAATGCAACAAATCAAATGCCATCATTTTTACATGTTTTTTAAATTTTATTGAATGAAAGCAAAAAATGTCGGAAATATAATCACATTTTAGAATAAGTTTAGATTTGTTCAAAT